ATAGAAAAACACTCTTAGAATCCACATAGTGCTATTTGCTTCAGACAGCATTTACCCTCCGGTAGGTGAGAGATTGGGGGAGGGGGAGACAGGATAGTCAAAACAATTTAAAAAATATCTCCCCTCAGATTACTAAATAAACACAAAAGGGGAAGGCAGAAAGAGTCTCCTTACAGTTGAAAAACCTAGCAAACACCACCTAACCCAGTGACTCATTTTATCAACCTCAGTGTTGGACAGACTGAATCATTGACTCACTGTAATACACTGAAAAGGGCCACAGCATCCCCTAAGTGATATAATCCTCCCAAAATGTTTACCCAAGTCTAGTCATGGGGAAACCACCAGACAAATCCACATGGGTAGACATGGTATGGAAACAGCTGGCCTGGATTCTTCTAAAAAGTCAGATAGCACCATAAAACAAAAGGGTAGGCACATCCAGACATGAGCTTCATGGAGACAGGTAGACATCATAATAATAGCATGTGGTCCTTTTATTAGATCCTTAGTTTAAGGAGCTTTAAAAAAAAAAACTAAATGATTTTGGGAGTAGGGTGAGTTTCCTTGTGGCCTGCATATTAGGAGTGTTGAATTCATGTTAGGCTTCCTCAGTGTGATTGCTGTTGTTGGGCAGGAGACTACTTGTTCATAGGAGACATACATTGGAGTCCCTTTGGGTGTTAAAGTGTCTTGATGTCTGCAACTAACTCTCAAGTGGTTCAGCAAAATGTGTGATGTGTGGGTCTTCATATATCTATAAAGAGATAATAAGGTAAATTTGGGAAATACAACTGGCAAAGCTAGGTGAAAGTTTGTTTTTGTGTTGCCAACTTTATCCAGTTCTGATTTCTTTTTAACATAAAATAGGGGAATTTTCCAAAATGTAAAGTATTCTAAAGTAAATGCAACAAAATGGGAAATAACATTTGCAAACTATGTGGTAAGGTAGATTTCTTTAATATATGAAAACTGAGAAAAATATCAACAATTCAGAACAGGTTAAAATAGGTAACAGACAGGCAGTTCACTGTCAACATGTGAAGAAATGTTTAAGCTCACTCATAAGAAGCAGCATGCAAATCAAACTGAAATACAGTATCACTTTTAAGTAAGACTGGCAGAGCTCAAAACCATTTATAACATGTGTCGAGAGAGACTGGGAAGAGGGAGTAGGCAGTTAGATTATGGTGTGAGCATAGATTGGTCTAACCCTTGGGAGGGCAGTAGGAGTTAAAATTTAAAGTCCATACTTTCCATTTCCAGGTGCATAAGGCCTGTATAGGTGCTCAACAAAGCACGTCTAAGTATATTGACTATAGAATTGTTGGTAATGGCAAAAGATAGGAAGCAGTTTAAATGTCCATCAAAGGGAACCAGTCACCTGAAGGACTGGATGTCCATGCAGGGCAGCAGTTATCCTGTGCAGGTGTACAAAGAATGAGACAGCTTCCCAAGTGCCTTCAGAAGTGATGAATGGATAAGGCAAATCTCTAGTGCAAGATGCAAAACAATTTATAATGTAACAAAATGTGTTTTTTTAAAGGGAAGGGTATGGATACTAGGTCCATGGTTGTGTTCACTTTGTGAAAATTCATCAAGCAGAACACTTACACTTTGTGTACTTTTTTGTATATGTAACATATATATTAAAGGCTTACCAGAAAATTCCAAAAAGGGAGGAGATAGTAGGTACACATATGCTAATACATACAGAAAGTGCTTCTGGATGAATATACCACAAACTGTTAATGTTGATGCTATTAAGGAGAGGTGTTGAGGCAAAATGATAGAACAAAGGCCTTTCAGTATGGTATTTCTTTTTTTATCAAAGTAGGTAAGAGATTTTTCATGAAAATTGTATAGTACCATTTAAATGATAGTAGCAGGGTACAGATTTGTGGTAGGATTCTAACAGTGTATCTTTATATATATGTATCTTTAACGTGTTAAGAAAAAAATAATGAAAATCCTCAACAAAAATATTAGCAAAACAAATTTAAAAATACATCAAAAAGATTATCCATCATGACCAAGTGGGATTTTTTCCAGGGATGTAAGGATGGTACAGTATTCAAAAATCCATCAACATCATACACCACATCAACAAAAAGAAGGACAAAAATCACATGATCATCTCTAGATGCTGAAAAAGCATTTGACAAAATTCAACACCTATTCATGACAAAAACTATAAATAAAATGGGCATAGAGGGCAAGTACCTCAACACAATAAAGGCCATATACCACAAACCCACAGCCAACAATACTTAACAGTGAAAAACTGAAAGCTTTTCCTTTAAGATTGGGAACAAGACAAGGATGCCCACTCTCCCCACTTTTATTCAACACAGTACTGGAGGTCCTTGCCATGACAATCAGACAACACAAAGAAAGAAAAGGCATCCAGATTGGTAAGGAAGAAGTTAAACTGTCACTGTTTGTGAATGACATGATATTGTACATAGAAAACCCTAAAGAATCCACCAAAAAATTACTAAAACTAAAATCTAAATTCAGCAAAGTTACAGGATACAAAATTAATACACAGAAATGTGTTGCATTCCTATATACTAACAATGAATTAGCAGAAAGAGAAATCAGGAAAATTCCAATTACAATTTTACCAAAAATACCTAGGAATAAACCTAACCAAGGAGGTGAGACCTATACCTTGAAAACTACAAGATACTCATGAGAGAAATTAAAGAAGACACAAATAAATGAAATCCATCCCATGCCTTGCTCATGGATAGGAAGATTGTCAAAATGGCCCTCCTGCCTAAAGCAATCTACAGATTCAATGCAATTTCTATCAAAATGCCAACAGCATTCTTCAATGAACTGGAACAAATAGTTCTAAAATTCATATGGAACCACAAAAGACCCCGAATAGCCAAAGCAGTCCTGAGAAGGAAGAATAAAGCTGGGAGGATTATGCTGCCTGACTTCAAGATCTACTACAAAACCACAGTAATCAAGACAATTTGGTACTGGCACAAGAACAGACCCATAGACCAATGAAACAGAATATAGAGACTCCAGATAATAAACCCAAGCATATATGGTCAATTAATATATGATAAAGGAGCCATGGATATACAATGGGGAAATAACAGCCTTTTCAAGAACTGGTGTTGGCACAACTGGACAGCTACATGCAAGAGAATGACTGAAATATTGTCTAACTCCACACACAAAAGTAAACTCTAAATGGATCACAGACCTGAGTGTAAGTCATGAAACTATAAAACTCACAGGAGAAAACATAGGCAAAACTCTCTTGAATCTAAACATGAGCATCTTTGTCCTGAACACATCTCAGGCAAGGGAAACAAAACAAAAAAATGAACAAGTGCAACTACATCAAACTAAAAAGCTGTACAGCAAAGGACACCATCAAGCAGAACAAAAAGGCATTCTACAGAATGGAAGAATATATTTGTAAATGACATATCCGACAAGGGTTTAGCATCCAAAATATATATAAAGAGCTCACACACCTCAACACTCATAAAACAAATAACCCGACTAAAAAATGGGCAAAGGAAGAAGAAATTCAGATGGCCAACAGGCATGTGAAAAGATGCTCCACATCGCTAATCATCAGGGAAATGCAAATTAAAACCACAATGAGATAGCACCTCACACCGGTTAGTATGGCCAACATCCAAAAGGCGAAGAACAACAAATGCTGGTGCGGATGTGGAGAAAGGGGAACCTTCCTACACTGTTGGTGGGAATGTAGTCAACCATTGTGGAAAGGAGTATGGAGGTTCCTCAAAAAACTCAAAATAGAAATACCGTTTAACCCAGGAATTCCACTCCTAGGAATTCATCCAAAGAAAACAAGATCCCTGATTCAAAAAGACATATTCACCCCTATGTTTATTGCAGCACTGTTTACAATAGCCAAGACATGGAAGCAACCTAAGTGTCCATCAATAGATGAATGGATAAAGAAGATGTGGTACATGTACACAATGGAATATTTTTCATCCATAAGAAGAAAACAAATCCTACCATTTGCAACAACATGGATGGAGCTACAGGGTATTATGCTCAGAAATAAGCCAGGCAGAGAAAGACAAGTGCCAAATAATTTCACTCATTTGTGGAGTATAACAACAAAGCAAAATTGAAGAAACAAAACAGCAGCAGACTCACAGCCTCCAAGGAGGGACTAGCGTTTACCAAAGGGAAGAGATTGGGAGGGGTGCGTGGGGAGGCAGGGAGAAGGAATTAAGGGGCATTATGATTAGTACACATAGTATAGGTAGGTCATGGGAAAGGCAGTATAGTGCGGAGAAGACAAATAACAACTCTATAGCATCTTACTACACTGATGAACAGTGATTGCAGTGCAGTGGGGGGGGAGGACTTGGTAATATGGGTGAATGTTGAAAACACAATATTGTTCATTTGCAGCCTTCATAATAAGATTGTATATTAGTGATTCTTTAAAAAAAGAAAAAAAGAATGGGAAGAAATTAAGAGTTAGTTGTTCATAGGGTTTTTTCAGGAAATGAAACTGAATTGTTTCCTTATCTCTGTACTTCTCTGTATTTTTCCAAGTTTCTGATATGACATGACAGTATTTTTCTGACATACGAAATTGACTTTTTTAAGTGCTTAATAACAATCTTTATAATCATATGTAATTGTTCTCTGCTATCACTTCCTTTCTTCCTCCTCACAAAAGTAGAAACTTCCAAATACTATTGTTATATTGCTTGTCAGTATATAGATAACAGGAGGCTTCAAGAATATAAATAACAGCCCAGGTCACACCTATCCAATAGGAACAGGTGTCATTGTGCAGGAGGAACAATAGATAAGTTCGCCCACCCTACCTGCTGCTTCTCTTTTCCTGTCATCACAGCTTGGCACAGTCCTGTTGCAGCTGCCGTTTTCTGTAATAAGGTGTCCTGGACCTTTTCAGTTGGCAATTTGTCACTGTGCTCTTTCTGCTCCTTTTTAATTTTGTGTGTTTTTTTTAGAATAACTGCACAAAGGCTTGCCCACTTGAACAAGTGCTTGATGAACTTTAAGCTAGGGAATTTCAGCTATCAGAAAAACCCTCTGAAGTTGGGAGAGCTGCAAGGCAATCACTTCACTGTTGTTCTCAGGTAAAGAACGGCGGGGCAGGGAGGAGCGCGGACCAGAAGGGGCTTGCCGGGTTACCTCTAGTCGGTTCAGAGCAGTTGTTAATCCAGATGAGCTGGTACCAACAGGGAGGCAGCAAGGGAAGGCAGAGCAGGGCCTGGACTAGGAGAGCAAATACTGCTGTAGTGTTTGTGCCAACATACCCAGGCCTCCAAAAACCCAGCGCCACCTTTGGAAAACAGCAGTCTCCTTCAAATACTGTGTTTAAAGACAGCTTGTGATTCCACTTCTTGGTAGTACCTAGAATAAGTAAGTTCATAGACACGGAAAGCAGAATAGGGGTTACCTGGGCTAGGGAGGGGGAGGATGGAGAGTTATTGTTGGGTGCAGAGTTTCAGTTTGGGAAGATGAAAGTTTAAGTCCTGGTGAAGGTTGCACAACATTGTGAATATACTTAATGCCACCATATTGCATACCTAAAAATGGCTACAGTGGCCGATTTAATGTTATTTCTATTTACCATGGTTTTTAAAAAAAGACAAAAGGCCTAAGAGGTAGAGAAAAAGCTTCAGTGGACAAGGGCAAGGCCTGGGAACCAGGCTGTGTTGTGCGTTGCGTTCATGATCTGCACCCCTGACCGACTAAATCATTTCCTCTGGATAACTTGGGCCCCTACAGAAATATAACAGGAACTGATGACCAAGTGCAGCAAGCCATGAATTCTCTCAAGGAGATTGGATTTATTAACTACTACGGAATGCAAAGATTTGGAACTACAGCTGTCCCCACATATCAAGTTGGGAGGTTTGTATTTAATATCTTAACATTTGTCTAAAAGAGTGCCCTCATTTTAAAAAGCATGGTTTTCTGTTGGTGTGGTTTTTGATTGTTTCTAGATTTCCTCCTGTGTGAGCCAGATGAATCAGTGTGTCGCATCCTTTTGGATGACCAGCTGATCCACAGCCTCCTTCAGAAACTCTGTTCTGTTTTAAGATAATACATGCATGAGTTTTAAAAAGAAAAAATCAGTGGTCAAAAGGATACAACCTGAAAAGTATATTTTTCTCCCATCTGATAGCCTATCCAAGGTTTCTCTCTCTTCTTTTTTTTACAGGTAAGTCTTGGCTAAGTGAGTGCCAGCAGTAAGCAGTTGAGTAACTCAGACCTCGAAACCCTGAGGGAGATGATGCAGTTTATGATCTAACCAGTGCTTCTCAGTTTATTAAACTTGGACCTGCTCTTCCTCCACCCTTTAATCAAAGTGGTCTAAGATGTAAACAGCAAAGTAACTTTTATTTTCAGGACTCTCTGATTGACTTTTAGTAGTAGGAAATCCCTCTAGGGTAAGCTTGAGTGGGAATCCCATCAGTAAATACTTGGTTTCATCTACTTATGCTGTCCTGGTGTCAAGCAGAGACTGTGTCACATACAATCATTATTCACGTGGGAGTTAGACTGTGAACATTATGAATTGAATGTGATTAGAGAGATTATTTAGTTCATAGTTTTCCTTGTGTTTCAAACCCTGCATTTTAGCAAAGATGTATTTAAGCTTAGGGAGGTCTACCGGAGGTCACAAGCTGGTCAGCTGTAGTCCTGGGAACAGAGGAGTTTCCTTAACTTCCATTTCATGGTTTCAGTAGCTGACTACATGATGTTACATTTGTTCATGCGTTTTTTTAAAAGTACAAAATGATAAAAAATCCATCATGTAGTATTTACTCCTTTAAGGCTGTGCCATTGTAAAGGTTAAAAGCTTCAGACAGCAGAGTCAGACTTAAGTTCTAAACCTCAGATTACTCATCTGTAAAATGGAGTTGATAATACCAACCTCACAGGGTAGTGAAAATGAAGTGAGATGATGTTTATGCAGCACCTATTTCTGTGCCTTGAATATAGTAGGTAAGCTAAATAAGTATAAAGTAACATTTTAAAATTAAAGCAAATTAGAGAAAAAATGGTTGCCAAGAAAAAAAGGATAGTAACTAATAATCACTGTTATTAGATAATAAAAGATAATGTTTTCAATCTTGCTAATTGTCAAGGGGCACTGCATAAAGATAGTGAAGTTTTTAATTGTATTATGGGACAGAAAATGTAACAGAAGGCTCTATCAGCCTTTGAGTTTGTAATTAATTTGGCAGACAAACAGTCATCAGACTATAAATTTTGTGTTCCCAAGATAATGTAAATTACTAATGAAAACGAGATCAGATTTTATCCAGGAACAAAAACTCCATAGTATGTGCTGAGTATATAGTCAGTATACAGTCCATTCAGAATTCCAAACCAACAGCCCCCACCAAAGGAGTATATTTCCTACCTACAAAGCAGCCTGCTATTTCCACCATAGGACCTCCTAAGGAGAAAAAGAAACCCTCAATTTATAATTTAAAGATGGAAGAATGACTTGTATCCAAAATATTTAAAGAACTGTTACAACTTAAAAACAAAAAGACAAATAGCCTAATCTAAAAACAGGCAAAGGATCTGAATAGACATTTCTCCAAAGAATATAAACTGATGGCCAATAAGTGTGCAAAAAGATGCTTGACATCATTAGGGAACCATTAGTCATTAGGGAAAATGATTCCAACCACTTCATACCCGTTATGATGACTAAAATAAAAAAAAAAAGACAGTAACAAGCATTGGTGAGGATGTGGAGAAATTGGAACCTTCATGCACTGCTGGTGGGATTGTAAAGTGGTACAGATATTTTGCAAAAGAGTTGGACTATTCCATAAAAGATTAAATATAAATATAGAGTTACCATATGACGTAGCTACCTAGCTATTGCATTCCAAAGTACATACTCAAGAGAATTAAAAACATATGTCCATACAAAAATTTTCACCAGTGTTCATAGCAGCCAAAAATTGGACACACCCCTGATATCCATTAACTGGTAAGTGGATGAAATGTGGTATATCCAAACAATGGTATATTATTCAACAGTAAAAGAAGTATTGTTGATACATGTACAATATGGATAAACCTTGAAAACATTATACTAAGTTTATATGAAAGAAGCCAATCATAAAAGACTGCATAGCATATGATTTCAAAGTGTCCAGATTTGACAAATCTATAGAGACAAAGATTACTAGTGGTTGCCTAGTCTGGGGTAGGGGTAATGAGAGCTACTGCTGATGGGTATAGGGTTTCTTTTCAGAGAGATAAAAATGTTCTAAAACTGGTAGTGTGGTTTTACACAATTCTGTGAGTGTACTAAATTTTTGAATTGTGCACTTTAAATGGGTGAAATATTTGGTATGTGAATATATACCTCAGTAGAGCTGTTTTTAAAAAACAAACTGGAAGAAATCCTTGCATATATGGTAAAATAATTTTGAACAAGGGTGACAAGACCATTCAATGGGGAAAGGACAATCAAAAAATTGTGCTGGGGAAACTGGATATACACATGCAAAAAAAATGAACTTGGATCCTTACCTTACAACATATACAGAAATTAACTCAGTGAATCAAAGATGTAAATGTAAGAGCTACAACTATAAAATTAAATGAAAACATAGGAAGAAAACTTCTAATGAAATCGCCAAAGATTTGATTGTCAGTGATTTCTTAGATGTAACACCAAAAGCATAGGCAACAAAAGAAAAAATAGCTAAGTTCATCAAAATAAAAAATATTTTAGTGTGAAGGACATTATCAAAAGAATGAAAATGCAATCCACAGAATGAGAGGCACTATTTGCAAGTCAATATCTGATAACAGATTGACATCCAAAATACATAAAGAACTCCTACAACCTAACAACAAAAAATGACCTACTTTAAAAATGGGCAAAGAACTTGAGTAGACCATTCTCCAAAGATGATATACAAATGACTAACAATTCATTGTGCCTGAAAAGATGCTCAACATCACTAATCAGTAGGGAAATCCAAATTAAAACCATTAGGATAGCTATTATCCAAAATACAAAAAATAACAAGTGTTGGTGAGGATGTGAGAAAGTAGAACCCTTGTATGTTCCTGGTGGGAATATAAAATGATACAGCCATTGTGGAAAATTATACGGTGACTCCTCAAAAAATTAAACAAAATTACCATGTGATCCAGTAATTGCATTTCTGGGTATATACTCAATAGAAGTAAAAACACACTCAACAGATATTTATACATGATGTTTATAAGAGCATTAGTCACAGTAGCCGAAAGGTGAAAGCAATCAAGTTTCCAATAAGAGATGAATAGATAAACAAAATGTGGTACATAGATAATAATGCAGTATCATTCAGCTTTAAAAAGGGAGGAAATTTTAACACATGCTGCAACATGAGTAAACCTTGAACATTTTCATGCTAAATGAAATAAGCCAGTTAACAAAAGACGAATATTGTATAATTTCTCTTGTATGAGGTTCCTAGAATAGTCAGATTCACAGAGTGGCATAGTGGTTTCCAAGAGCTGGGGGTAGGGGGAAAGTGGGGAGATAGTGTTTAATGTGGAGAGTTTCCATTGCAGAAGATTAAAAAGTTCTGGAGGCAGATTGTTCTGATGGTTATATAACAATGAAACTTTTTAATGCCACAAACTGCACACTTTAAAATAGCAAAATGATTCATTTATTGTTATGGATGCTTTACACAATTTCTTAAAAGGCAGAAGAAGGAAAGATAATGTAAGGAGAGTAGAAAACATTTTAATGGTAGTGGGCAGTTGGGATGGCCTGTTGTAAACCTGATATATCTTTTAAATGGCAGTGTGTACTGAGCCTTCGTGTGTGTGGTAACATCTTAAAGTTGTTGAGAAGTCCTGTAATTAAGAAACTTTTTAATATATTGCACCAGGTGTTTGCAAACTTTTCTGTAAGGGACCAGATAGTCAATATTTTGGGCTTGGTGGGCCAGAGAGTGTCTGTAGCAGCTACTCAGCTCTGCTGTTAGCACCAGAGCAGCCCCACACAATATGTAAAGACACCAGTGCAGCTGTCTTCCAATAAAACTATTTACAAAATCAGATGGCCGGCCAGATAAAGGATTTGGGGCCTATCTGTCTTTTCTGTGATATTTGACAGACCAGTGCCTTGTCCTGACTTAATCACATCCTCTACTGAGGCTGAGGACCTAGCCAGCTAAGTACTCTGTCAACAGGAGGATTTTAAAGACTGGTAAAGAGAGGCTTGTTGCAGACTGCAGGGTGACCACCAATATGAAATCTGTTAATGTAATTCATTGCATCAGTAGATAAAAACTCCATATGATCTCATCAACAGTTACCAAGTAACAGTAACCTCGCGAAGGGGGTAAGATACAAGCCGCAGCCCGGCAGGACCCGAGCACCCCTCACCCCAGCTCCCTGGCAGGAGGAGAGGAGTCAGAGCTGGGAGAGAGAGGGAGCCCAGGACTGCTAAACACCCAGCCCTAGCCCTCTGCACTGGAGCACAGACACACAGTGCGAGGAGAGTGGGACACTAGGGAAACAGGACAGTAAAACCTGCGAGCGGTTCCCCACAGCTGGCACCCCTGGGAGAAAAGAAAAGCGAGTGCTTTTTGAAAGTCTTAAAGAGACAGGGGCCTCACAGCTGGAAGGAAACGTCCCAGAGCACACAGCCTAGCAGCTGGGAGTCCCAGGGAACTCCAGGCACCCTAACCTCCTAGACGGCAGTACAGCTCTGAGACCCCTCACAACGATAAACAGCCCCCCTCCAGTTCCCCTCTGGGGACCTGCCATAGCAGAGCAGCAGCCTGAGGCTGACCATGCCCACAGCAAGGGAGCTTCCTCCAGAGCGGCCAGGCAAGAAACAGAGACCCAGTCTACACGCAACTGCCCAA